AAACCCAGCTATGCTTTCTTAACCCGGTGGTTTAGGACTTAGCATGTTGTATGAACCCAGCCAACAGGATGTATAGAGTATGTTAACAATGACTATATTTCACTGATTTCAGTGGAACCTAAGAGCGACTAATTCCATCTTAATCTAGCCCCCTGGCTTTTCCTTGACATCTAAAATGTACAGTAGAGATGTGTAATTCACAATAGGCAAACAAGGCAATACCAGATCTTTGTGCATGCTACAAGTCTTTAGAAAAGAAAACAAAGTGATATTGGCTGCAGAGTTCAGCTTCCTGAGAACTTCTGCTTACTTTTTTTGAATATATCAAATTGCTAACCTTTACCACTTTTAAGATATACTAGAGAAGTGGCCAGGGGCTGCCAGTAGAAACACTATGATCACTTCCTGGTCCTTCTGCTCCCCTACCCCAATTAACCAACCTTTGGGGAGGAGAAATGAAAATCACCAAGAACTGTGTGCCCAAGAGCACACTGGCAGACTTATACCCAGCTCTGCTCACTGGCACTTCTTCCTGCACCGTCTCCTGAGCCCTCAAAGGGTGGGGAGGCAGAAACGCACCTTCCGTTTCAGCGCTGGCTTGGTGAGAACCGGCGGGGAACTGGAGCAGGGGCTGGCCGGCTCCTCGTCTTCGTCTTCGCTACTCTCGCTGAAATGCCTCAGCAACGCACGGTCGCCCTCGCTGTGCCGCCGGGCTATCCTGTCGCACTGCTCGGAGAGCCTGCTTTTCAGGGGCTCGAGGGCTTTCAGCTGACCTTTCCACACCTCCATGCCTTCGCTGCACCGCCTCTGGGAGATGGAGGGCTTCTCGCCCTTGCCAAACTGCCCTTGGGAGGAGACAGGCTTTTCTTCCTCTTTCCCAAAGTGCCCTCGCGGAGTCGGGGTCTTTTCCTCACATTTGCCACACTGTCCCTGGGAGGAAGCCATCTTCTCTTCGCTGTCCCCAAATCTCCCTCGAGAAGCCGCTGCTGCTGCTGCCGCCGCGGCCGCGGCCGCCTTTTCTTGGCACTCGCCGCAACGGCCCCCCCTGGCCATTGCTGACTTCTCCTCCAAGATCAGCTTCGGGTCATTCTCAGTGCAGGACTCCCGCAGCTTTTTGTTCTTCCGGCTCCACCGGCCCCTGCGCGGCGTGTGGCTGTTGGCAGGAAGACCGCTCAGGGGAAGACTTTGCTTGCCAGCCCGCAGGGCATTGACGGGAGGGACCTCTGGTTTTTTTTCAGTTTCCAGCAGAAAGCAGGACTCTCGCTCTTTCCTCTCCCAGGAGACACATTTTATTACCTGGGGGGCACAAAGAGAAATTCACTGTTTTTCAGGCTTCCGTGAAAATGCTAATTCCTGAAGACCAGGGGCTTATAATCTTTTAAAAATGGGGTTAGGGAAATTGGCAACTAAAGCCATGGGAGATAGGGCAGTATCACACTGAGCAAGGTCGGAATTAAAAACCCCTCCAAGGGGTCAGCAAATAAAGTGAGCTTGAAGGAAAAAATGGAAAAGGCTTTGCTTCCATTCAGATTCCTGAAAATTTACTAGACCTCTTTTTGACATGCTGGCCGGGGAATTCTGGGAGCTGAAGTCCACACATCTTAAAGTCACTGAGACTGAGAAACACTGTGCTAGACAAACCCGTAGGTGCCATGCTATAAACTACTCCACAATTTCATACATGCATAAATGCATCACACCCTGACCTCAATGTCTCTCTCCCGTGGCTGCTGTGGGACATCGATTTCTGCTTCTTCAGGATCATCTTCTTCATCCTCCGAAACCACCGAGTTTGAGACAATGACAGGAGTCCAGCGCAGACATTCTGGATCCACGACTACAGGCCGGATGTTCAGTTTCAGCTTTGCCATATGGTCTTGGATAAGTTTCTCCCGCCTAACAATCACAAATCTGAGGAAGGAAGGAAGAATGAGTGGCTTTGGTCATATGACATCAAGTTCATGTTATAACGATGGAAATGCAGGGAGAAAAAAGGTTACTGGGACATCCAGTGGAAAGGAGACCCAAATGAGGGATGCATTACTAAGCATTTGCCACTGATGCACTGCATTAGTACAGGTAGTCCTCGCTTAATGATCATTCATTTAGCGACTGTTCAAAGTTACAACGGTGCTGAAAAAAGTGACTTGCAACCAATCTTCATACTTATGACGGTCACAGCATCCCCGCAGTAATGTGATTACAATTTGAGTGCTTGGCAACCATCACCCATTTACAATGGTCACAGCGTCCCGCGGTCACATTGCCATTTGCGACCTTCCCAGCCAGCTTCCGACAAGCAAAGTCAATGGAGAAGCCGGCAGGAGGTTGCAAGTCACAGTCACGTGATGTCTCGCTTAACGACCGTGGGTGATTTGCTTAACAATCACAACTGGAACTGCTAGAACTGTTGTCACTAAGCAGGGGTGGTCACGAGATGTTTCGCTTAACAACCGCTTCACTTAGCAACAGTTACTGGTCCCAACTAGGGTCGTTAAGCGAGGACTACCTGTAGCTCCCCACCATAAAAACTGCCTTAAAAATGTCACAGAGACTCTTGATGTGGAATCTAGCCTACATTGGTTGGGCTCGTAAAACGCACTAAGCCATACTGTGTGGGATTGGAACAATGTAGGACCTTGTCTACTCTGGTACGTACATTAAGGCTTATGGTTGAGAGTGCTGTGTGAACCCAAGCAATTGCGATTCATACATTAAGACTTATGGCCCACTGGAATAATCTAAATTCCTGAAACAAGAAATTTAATATCCTCAGTCCCCCAAGCTTGAGGAACTCTTGTATGCTAATACTTAATAAGCAACTGAAGTTTTAACAATTTATCTCTAAAATTTACCAAAAAACAGTATCTGCCAGGAAAATTACTGTACTGCATTAAGAGACTGCATGAAAACAGTATGTGGTAGGGTTCTGTGCATTTTTGTTTTAAAGGACAACATAAAGATATTAAAGTAAAACATACATACAGAAACTGCAAGAATGGCCAGGGATACAAAATTCACCTTCTTAAAAATCTCAACATTTTCAATAAAAGAAAAGGCAAGATTCTGGCTCTTATGCTGTAGAAATGCTTATTTTCTGGTTCTTGAAGATAGGAGCACCAAGTTCTCTCTGGCTACATCCCACTTTCATTCAGGAGTTCAAGACAGCATATGGTGGAGATTGTGGTTCTCTGCTCTTTCCTGTAACTAGCAGTGCTTAAATTATGCCGTTTGGGAGGATCAAGCTTTCCACTTTGCAGAATTAAACTTTTTTTTTTATTGCCTGGGTATAAGACGTAACTTTGCAGGTTGCTTAGCCTCCACAATGAGAACATGTAACAGTCTCTCGAATAGTAAATGTCTGCTTTCGTGGAGCCTGTGCTCTTTGCCCCATGTGCCAGAGCTGGTCTACTAGTCAGCATAAGGAAGCCATCAGCTGTGTAGGACTTGCCATCTCTTTCCTGGGACACAGCTCTGTATGGTTCCCTCTTCCCCATGCTGTCTGATCACCAAGTGATCCTCCACCACCCCAAAGGCTCACTCCTTAACGCTACAGAACTGCCTTCCTGCACTTCACCCTGCTCAACCTCTGTCAGCCTGACGTGAGACAGTTCCACCAAGAGAACTCCTGATCGCTGCCACACGTGCCCACATTCTGTACCCAGGCAATCAAATTCTCCACCTAAGAGGGCAGACATCTCTCTCAAACGGCAAACACTGGGTAATGCTGCCACTGGCATTACTTTGCATAATTCTTCTGCTTCTACTAGCTACCGGAGAAGGAAACATCTGTCCCACTTTATACAGTTTATTATCCACTTCCCCAATGGCGTTTATGCCGTTTATTATCCACTTCCCCAATGGAAGGAATCAGTAACTAACTACTGATGTTGTTAATTAGGTTTCAATTAATGTACCTTGATACTACTCTGAAGCTGCCTCAAAAGCACACATATCTAGACAAGGCAGGATATACATTATCATTGTTTAGTTTGTTAATTTATACCCTGCTTTTCATTCGGAAATACAAGTTGGCACACTTAGTGCCCCCTCCTCCATTCTCCCTCCCCCCAAACAACAATCCTGTGAGTCAGGTTGGACTGAGAAAGTATGACTGGCCCAAAGCCACCCAGGGAGCTTCTATGGCTGAGGGGGGCAGAATCTGGGCTTCCTTGCCCCTAGCCCAGCACCTCCACCACCAGACCAGACTGGCTGTTAGGCTGAGGGGGAGGGACTGCCCCAAAGTTTCCCAAAGAGCTCTCCTAGCAGACCAAGAGCCTAGGCCTCTCCACTCCTAGTCCAACCCCTCAGTCACTGCACTGGGTCTCTCAATTCACCCAATTTCTGAGATTTCAACAAACTCTTGAGGGTAATCTCCACAGCACAAGGGCTAGAAACTTGGATTTTTTTAAAAAAAATGCTTGAGTTTTTCAGGATTTCTGTATCCACAATATCAGCTCTGAACATAATCCTGCCATTTTCTGAGGCCACCCGATGCTGTGAGAGAAGGAACCAGGCTGTGATGCTCACTGATCGTTACGGAAATCAAGCATGCGGAGGTGATGCAGAGTCGAGGTGATGTCCTGGGGGCAGATGCCGGTCAGTTTGCTCAACTTCTTGATGCTGATCTGCTTGTCGTTTTGGTTATAAAGGCACTCCAAGATTACGCTTTTCCAGTACGCCATGTAGGAGAGACGACCCAAATCAGACAATGGCTTCTCTGGGGATCCTGCCTGGCCTTCACGCTTTGATAGGAGATAACCTAAGAGAAAGCAGAAAGCGCTCAGGACTAGGTTTGGTATGTCCACCAACACTCTCCTGGTTTTACCCAGAGTTGGGAGCACCTCAGGGCCCCTAGAGGACTGCTAGTGACCTCTCTGTTGGGAAAAAACACGAAACTATCTCATTGTGATGGCCAACCACCTGCTACTCTGGTCCTTATGAGCATCAACATCATTCCTATTGCCACCTTGAGCTCCTGTGCAAACGGCAGGATAAAACTCTAACAAACAGAAATAAATGCAAACTTCCCCGCTGCTCCATCAAGAAAGGCAGCCAGACCCGAAGAGGGATCTTCATGAATAATGGCTGGTATTTTTCAGAAGATGGACAAAAATGCAGAACCATAGCGATACAGACACCCTTTAACCAAAATCTCAATTTCCAAGGAAGGCCATTCTTCCAAGCCACAGAGAGGGGTTTGGCACCCATTCTACTGAAGCAAATGCTGGAGAATGATGTCCAGGTGGGTTATAAGGACAGAACGCATTTCTGCATCTGAGCTGTGTTCACAGCCACTAGGGGGCAGCTGTTTCCCATTCTGATTAGCGGCCTACCACCAAAACGCAGCCTGGCTGAATAGCAGAAATCCGGGCTCCCTCTTTTCCAGTACATTCCATTCCCCGAGACGATGGTCGCGCTTAACTTTTAATATGCTACTCCGTGATCACTTTTTGCCCCCTTTAGTCTTTCTTCTTAAAATTCTGTAGTACATCTGTAAGCCTCGAGATCTCTCTCTCTTTCTCAATGCCTCTCTTTTGTAGGCGCTGACCAGCTGAGCGAAAGCAATATTCTCTGTAAAGAGCTAGTAGAAGGGAAAGCTTTCCTGGACCTGTTTCTAAAAGCTGATACTCCAGAGCAGGGTTTCTCAACCGTGGCCCCTTGAAGAGGTGTGGACTTCAATGCCCAGAATTCCCCAGCCAGCCATTTTCATCTGCATTTTGCTCGCGTTATTTCTTCAGGGCAACCAATGGCGTGGCCTGCACGCCACCAAAGCGTTATGTCGTGGTGACTGTGCTAATCTTTAACCTGTTGCAAAAAACATATTTGTCAAATCGCCTTAGGGTGAGCTCCCTGGGTTAATTCAGAAGGCAAGCTGCAGGGTTTATATGATTAAGGGCCAGGGGCTGCTTTTTCAAGTCCCGAAGGGCAGCTTCCTGTCTAGAATATTACTGCGGTCAAACTCTCAATGTATGAAATATAAGCGACTGTCACTAGATGCAAGCATACCCACACACACACAGAAAAGGGGGGGCAGCTGCTTGATTTTTCTGGCTATATTGGTAGGGTCAAGGCCTCACAAAGAATTGGTGAGCAACTAGAATGACTCTTCTCCTTCAAGTCAGGGGCCCATCATTCATTACGCACTCCGGCTTTATAAAAATTAAACCCCGGCTGCTGCCTCCCGTCTCGAGGTCAGCGTTCCAGAGTTAACACAGAGAAGCTCTCATAATTGAGAGGGTTTTTCTCCCCAGCCTTCAACCCACACTTCACCTTGAGCAAACTGATAATAAAGTCAGTTCAGAGACTTGTTGGAAGACATGGGATCATGAGTGACCAGCAAGCTTTCCAGCAGACTAGGCAGCAACAGGACGGTAAACAAGCCATTACTTAAAGAATGTGAAAAGAACTGGAACTCCAGCTAGAAGTCGTATCAGTTCATTTCAGATAATGAGCATGGAAATGTCAACATCCCTTTAGGGCGCATAATGTGGGGCTCACTTTTCACTGCATAGGAAGCTGTCTGCACAAATGAGCATCTTCTCATTTAAAGATGGAAACGTTTAGTAAACAGGTACTTGGCTTGGCTTTGAAAACGGGACTTCTCTTCCTCTCCAGAAAGCACTGCCTTTATATTTCCTGTCACTGCCACCAAGGTCAGACAAGGTACTTTTGCTGTCTAACTGGATTTGGCTACTAATGGGCTTCCAGGCACAATCCAAGATGCCTCTTTTTTTTAATCTTAAAAACTAAAAAGTCCACCTGCATCAGATTTTCTGGTCTCTGAGGCCAACTGAAAAGGGTGACCAGCACGCTTTTCCTTTATCAAAGTCTATAATGCCAAAGCCTCTGCTCAAGCAGTATGTGAGCTTTCAAACATTTATTTCTCCTGTGCTCAGCAGTAGTTTATGACTCTAAATCCACCTCTTCGCTCTACCGGCGATGGTTTCAAGGCAGAACTACACAATTTCACCGATTCTTCCTTCACAAGCTGGATTAATCCAAAGCCTTGGGACAAATCAAAGGCTATGGAATATTAGCCATCAAAACGTTTTGTCTGTGCCAGTTCAACATGAACCCTGTTTTCCTTACACCACATCCATCCGACTGGTTCACAATCGCCTTGTGTTCTGTGTCTGCCAGACATCTTGCTTTCCCAATCCTTGTTCCACAAGAACTCCAACTATTTCTAGAGGCTGTTTATGTAACAAACAAATGTAAGGGCAGGACATGCCTTCCTATCTTGTAATTTCTACTCATGCTCCAAACACCTCATCAGCCCCCTGCTGAACATCTGATTTGGTCACCAAATTAAGAGTTTGAGATCTGTTTGCAAATAATAACCATAAGGCATACTTATTTCTAGGCATCCAGCTCACTGAAATGAACAGAAAACTTTCTCCCACATGCGGCTTTATCAAGGAATCCTGGCAGGCAAGGGGAAAGGACTCGCTCTGTGGTAAGAATGTGGTATGGAAAGGCCTGCCTCGTCTTGCTTACAATTAGGCCTATTGTTTGTTTGCTTGTTTGTTTGTTTACCCTGTATTAGTCTCATCATTTTTAAAACACCAAGTTCAGCAGAGATCAGCAGTCGGTTATGACAATACCGAAACTGAGAAGCATTTTACTTCAACAATAAATGTTCAATATAATGTGAAAATTCAATCTTTTTCATTAACAAGTTCAAGCTTCTATATTATCATCTATTTGAACAGAAATTTTAATTTCCATCTTCATTAACAGCTTTTAATGTTATCGTTTTCCAGTTGAACTGTTCTGATCATATAACAGGATTTAAATCTTTTACTGTTGATCGGTAGGCTGGGACTAGTACTCAATCACAGGGCGTCTCCAACCAGCCACTGGACTCCCCTCATACTCTCTTCAGCAGCCCCCATGGCTGATGTTCCTTCTTTCCGTGTCCCCACCAGATGGCCAGTAGGAATTGCAGAATGGCTGCCAGGCTCTGCTCTGCTCTCTCATCATCTCTGCTTTTTATGGCAAGGGGAAAACATTAAAAAAAGAGGCACCCAACTGCTGAGAGCAACAAGGGAAGAAGCTTGGAGGTAGGAGTTCCCACCAGCGGGAAGCTGTCCACTCCCAGCTCCAGAGGAAATGCCACAAAACTGTCTTTACATCATTTCCTCTCACACAAGAATGTCCCAACCTGCACCCAAGCCCCACAATATTGTGGGAACATTTAGGGAGTCCTGCCAATCTTAGACCAACACAGCCTCCCCATGTGGAAGGGGCACAACTGGACCTAAACAGAGATGTGACAGCACCATCACTATTACATAAATATGATACAAATTAGCAACTGTTTACCAAAATGCATGTTTGGATAAAAATGGGACTCAGATCCAGAGCAGGAAGATTGTTAAATGTTTGCTGAATGGAAGTGCAACAGGAGAAAAAAAGGAAGGCAGTGATGTAAGACGCATGCAATAAAGAAAACATTTGCTTTTGCAGAAATCAGTAGGGGGAAAAAAAGGCTTTCTAGAATTCCAAAACAGAGCCAGTTCAGATAAATAACTCTCCTGAAGTCATATTGAGCCAAATCACATTGCAGGAGAATTGCACAGCTCCATAAATTGTAAAACAAAATTTAGAAGGAAAAAAAAAACAGAAAAACAAGAAGGGGCTTACTAAAGTCAATGAGGAATCTGCCGTAGCCCTTGCGTTGGTACTGGGGAAGAATCATTATGCAGGAAACGTTGTATTTCTGCTGGCAGTGCTTCTCCTAGTAACAGAGAGAGAAAGAGGAAAAAAATAATCCAGTCATTAAAAGCATGGGTTTGTGACACGGAAGAGAAGTTCTTTGGGACAATAATTAATACAGAGGGAATATTCCAGCCAAAGACACAGCAGTAATTCCATTGGGAAGTCAAAGAAAATCAGGTGAAAAACACGTCTCCAATGGAAGAACAACAGCAAGCCTCTAATTATTCGGGAAGAAGGAGGGGGAAAAAAAAAGATGACTAAATATGGTTTGGTCACTGAAATACCTAGTCCAGCAATGTTTATTCCAAGTGACTGTGGCTCGGTGGGGTCTGTCACTAAGGGTCTTCCCACTCCTGCTTTCTGGAACTTTCTAAAATGGAAATAGAAACGTGCCCTACTTAAGAAGGGGGGGGGGGAGAAAAACTGGGAAATGTTTATTGTTTGGATTCTATGAAATACCCAAGGATAATTATTCCCAGAAAAATACCTTGTTCAGTAGATGGGGCTATCTCAAGCTATGGAGCAGATAAATGGGGATATTAAGAAGTGGATGAAAATACCCAGGAGACTGTGGAGAAGAATAAACGTAATGAAAATGAGGGGCGGTCACGTTGATTTGGCTCAAGTGCCAAGCAGCTCTCGCTCAAAACAATGGCTCATGTCTGATAACAGAAGCTCCAATTAAAAAAAAAAACTGTATCGATGGGTTAACTTTTGTTAATATAGGGGAATGAAAACTAGACTGAACGTGCACCATTATGGGCCCAATGGGAGAGCTATTATTTGACACCCTTGAAATCCTGAGAAGAGCTTGGTTTCAGTTACAGTAAGAATTTTGAGGTATTTATATTTCTTAAGTCAAACTAAATATATTTAGGCATCATTATGTAGAAAACAAACTTGATCTTAGATCTCATGAGAAGTTGACAATATGGAATAACCTTTAATTTAAAAATGGCGTGGGGGGGAAACCTTTTTTGGATTAATCAATCAGTAATTAACTACTGATCAGTTAATCAGTTAATTACTACTGATACTTTAAAGACTTCTGAAAGATTACAAAAGGAATGTATTTTACCAAAAACAACCAAATGACAATATATATATTATTAAAATATCTTTCAGAGTTTTTCTTTGGTCGAAATGCCGTAGCAGATTCTAAAACTCCAATAAGGCTGAATGAGAAAAAGATTTTATGGAGACTAAACCAACAGTCCAATATTATCAACCATTTAGAGGCAACTACTATTCTTACACTGTATGCACAATTTTATTAATTTTTTTCTTCCTTTTCCTATTCTATATTCATTTTTTTATATTTACAGTAGTAGTTAATATGTTTAATAGTATTAATACTAGTTAATAGGATTATTATGTAAAAAAACAAGATGCCATAGTGAATGGGGCAGTAATATCAATTGGACAGAATGGTGTCAACTTTATGAGTGAGGTCAAGACATGCTATTTTCACCTGTTTGAGGGAAAATATTTTGTTTTCATTAATGTAAACCCATTTAACCTAGCATGACAAGAACCTGTTATTGCTATATGATGGTAGTACAGGAAGCTGAGTTGCTTGCTGGTTTGTTTCTTGGTGTAATCCAGCGTTCTGGTTATAACCTGTAAAGCCCTATCTGGCTTGGGCCTGGTTATCTTCCAGGTTGTTTTCTCCCCAGAGAATCTCTCTGTCCAAGACAGAAATTAAAAGTCTGTACCCACCAAGACATGCAGCAGGGGGATTCCAGAGGTGAGCACTCTTTTTGAGGGCTCACTCCTTGTGGAGTAGCTTACCCCTGGGATGAGGGCATTTCAGAAATTAGTAAAGACCTGGTTGTTCCACAGAGATATAGGGGGACTGAGAAGTATTATTCCAACCCTGGGATGAGTGATGAATGCTTCGGTAGTCTACTGCGTATTTTTAATCTAATTGTGATATGTATGCTTAATGATTATTTAGTTATGCACCACAATATTAGTGTTATCACAGACTTGTAAGCCACTTAGATTCACTTGACTGAAGTGGCATAGAAGTACCTGTATAAACAAACAAATGTACTCTACAGCTTTCATCAGTTTTCATGTAGTCATAAGAGGAGGAAACCAAGCTGCTGAATTCTGAAATTCAGAAGAGTCTTGGGATCCCCTTTTAGGGTCTGGATGGGGAAGAACAGGTTCAGGTTCAACTCTAGCAAGACTAAGTAGCTTTGGGTTCAGAGATCAGTTCTGTCCATGGATTTTCTATTTTCAGTTCTGAAGTAGGAACTGGTGCACAGAAATTGTGTACTTCCCCAGATGGAACTGATGCACAATTTGGGGTCCTCCCGGACCTACTGCTGTTGCTGGAAGAGCATATGGTAGCTATGGCTGGGAGAGCTTGTGTACCAGATGAATCCTTTTCTAGATCAACACACCCTTCACAGGGTCACTCATTCATTGCACCTCCCACTTGGACTACCACAATGTGATATATACGGGGCTGCCTCATGTAGACTTAGAAACTATAGCTAGTCCAGAATGAAACTATGTGAGTAGTACACCCACATATCACCTCTACTTGGCAGGCTGCACTGATTACCAATTGGTTTTGGGGTCCAATTCAAGGTCCTGGTTGTCTTCTATAAAGCCCTTCAAGGATTAGGCCTCAGTGTTTATGGGAATGCTGGCCTCCAATTATGCCAGCCTGTCCTATACGATTTGGCATGGTGGGCACACCCCAGGCCCATCTATAAAATAATGTCATCTTGTGGGACCCTGGAGGTGTCCTTTCCCTGTTGTTGCTTCTACCCTCTGGAGTAGCATTTCTCCCCAAGGCCCATTTGAAACCCTCCCCAGGTCTACCTGCCCCAGCTAACCTCTAGGAAAACAGTGTTTCTAGGGCAATTTGTGAACCATTTGAACGGTTGCTATTTGAATGTTTGTGTATTTCCTGAAGTGCTATTATTGTACTTTGCCCTGCATCGATTCTGATGTCCTGTTTTCTTTAATGAAGTTCTTAACCTACTGAACACTGCCTTGAGCCATTTCAATTAGTCAGCCCTATAAATGAAATAAATACGCAAATCTCCATCACACACATTCCTCCCTGTCTTTAAAGGAGGACTTCAGAGTAAACATTTAAAATCTGCAGAGCCTCCAAAGAAACAGAGGATTTAGACAGAACCCTTAAGACAGAACCAAAATCCAGCGTGCATATCCCATTTTGTAGGTAGACTAGCGAAACTACAGATTCAGATGGTATGATTTTCTCCCCTGAACATTTCTTCTCCAAGCAAAACAGCTTCGGCATGGAAGGATGGAGGCTGGGGGAGTGGGGAGGAGGGAAAAGAATGCAAAGGCAAGCCCTTAAATCTTTATGCCTGGACCCCTGTCTATGCACGAGGAATACGAAAGCCACGTTCGGTCTCAACTGCATCTTTTCCAGAGTGCAAACAAAAGCTTTGAAATGAGATCAGCATCTGATTTGAGGAGCAGCGAGCTCGGTGGTGCTAACAATGAATGTTTACTTCACCAACTAGCTGTACTCTTCACTACCCAAGGGATGAGGAAGTAATTTAAAACCTTCTCCCCTCAGAACTGCTAAGCTGGAATTCACGCTCCTTGGAGGATACACTCAGTTCGACAGGATGAAGAGAAAGCCAGCCATGTTAACTGCTTCAGTTCCCTGGATTTGTCTAGACATAGTTTTAAAAGGGGTATTGAAAATTGCACCCACTGCTTCAGAAGTCCCTTATGTAGTTAAAATCCAGCAGAGTTTTGGAAGAATTACTGCAGAACCACTTCGAACTGGCTTTTGAGTTCACCCAGTTAAACTGAAAACACCAGCCCAATTATAGCCACTAGAATGCACTTCAGACTAATTTCAAAGGTAATTTCCAGAGATACAGATTCAGGACAGGCGGCTTAGTACAACAAAGAACTATAGTATGGAAAACTGACAGGAAGAAAAAGGCAGAGATAGGGAAAGAACATTTAATTATCTTCTTGCACACATCAGATCTTGTCATGCCACAGTTCCAGAAGTGGTGCAAGGGGAAAAATGTGTGGGATTTGACACTACATTATCATTTACTACATTTTTAAAAATAATTCTTTAAATTTAAATTTACAAATTTACTACATTTACTATCCTAATGAATAGCAAAAATACAAGGATATAAAAATGGTTATACGTGCTTAAATGTGCAGATAAGGAAATGCCTTTTAATATACACAGCTTGCCTAATTTACATGGATTTCCAAATTCCACTTTCCTTCCCATAGATTTTACAGCAGTTTTTATGGTACAGAAGCAGCACAGGTCTAGCTTTATTTCCTTCTGTTGAGCGATCAGAAAAGAGCCACTGCCCAGCACTGCAAAACGAAACTAAAGCCTCAGCTCAATTCTTGGTGACGTGCAAGAACACACGCATGCAGGTTTCCTGCAAGGATCCCTGCAAATCAAAACCCAGGTTTCATCTCTGCATCCTCACCTTGGAGAAGTAGCCAACGAGGTGGCAACCCTTCACATCATTTTGCGTCAGCACATAAAAAAGAAATGGCTCCACATCATAATAGAGTGTCTTATGGTCCAGGAAGAGTTTTGCCAATAGACATAAGTTCTGGCAGTAAATAGTACTGACATTGCCATCCACCTTAAAAGAAAAGTAGATTAATTCACTGTATCCTCACCAGGAAACCACATGAAATACTATACCACACCCTGGCCACCAAAGCCAAATAATATTAGAGCAAACAACAGGGGCAACATCCATTTTTGCAAGCATTAAGAAAAAGAGAGCAATTGGAAAACATCACTACTCTGACCTTTGGCCCCAAAGGCAGCCCATGTTCCTAAGACTATCAACCACTTAGATTCATTTATATGGCCAAGAATTTATAACCTTATTTAAAGAGTCACTAACATGCTACACCTAAATCATGAAACAGAACTCTTTTTGGAAATGGTATTTAAAAAGCCCATTTAGAAGGCAGAAGTTTACAGCAGAGAAGCAACAGCATGTGGGCATTAACCAATTCCTCGCCCACTGTTTCCTCACTAAAAATTGCTGACTGCCCAGGAGTCCACAAACAACACACCCAGAGACTATTCAAACGGTATTTCTGTGTTCTGGAGCCTGTTCCTACTCCTTGCATCAGAACTTGCTCTGAAAAATTCATTGTGGACTACACTGCATGTTTCACCTTTTATTAAGGCAATCAAACAACAGTTAAGAACAGCTGAAATTTACCTCGAAAACTGAAACATTACTCTTTCTGTAAATTTCATTGGCTGGGGGATGAAACCATCCACATTTCTTCATGTGCTGCTGGAGAATAGTTCTGCTTTTCATATATTTGAGACAGAATTCACAAATATACAACTTGGGCAACCTGCAAAATATGAAGTAGTTATTATACCCACTCAGGGTTAAAGAAAAAAGCCACTTTAAAAGAGCAAAATGATATAATCCCTCCAGTTCTCACCCTTACAACAAATTCCCTTAAGTGAATATCCGCTGGACGGTACTGAACCAAAAAGACACAAGAGCAGGTGAAGACATGCAAAGGCCTAAGCAAAAGACTGCTCGGGATGACTTCATAATATACCCAAGGCTGTCCACGATCAGTAGGAAGCAGAACTAGATAAAGTAGGAAATGTATTTTCAAAGTACAAAAGTTAGCAGCACAAAAGGGCTACAGGAAAATAACCAGAGGCTCAATATTGGATACCTCCAAACCTTACTAATTTAACTCCACACCAACCGCCACAATCAAATATGTATACTTCTTTACCCTCTCATATAAAAGCCCCTACTAAAAGTATTCAAAGCCCTAGATCTTTGAAAAATCTAGGAAACAGATTATTGTAAAATAAGCAAACATCTATTCTTTACTTTACTCTCCAACATGTTATCTGCATCTTTATTTATTAAGCTTATTACACTGCTGACACCTTTCTCCAACTGACATGCCACCCTAAAGGGGAGGGTGAGAACTTAAAAGATGAGCATATCAGGATAAATCTGTAATAACAGCTGCTTCATTTCCAGCAATTGCAAAAGGTTCCACTGAGCAATACATGGTACATCACAAAATGGGCTTTGTACCTGGAATATTCTTGCGGGTATGGAGAAGAATACCAGGTGTGGATTTCATATTTTCCAAACTCAATGACTGACGGGCAACGGACTTGGGGGTCAGGTGCTCCCGTCACTCCTACTTTCTGTAAAAGAAACAAACAAATAATCTTAACCCACTCAATATCATTCCGCAGGTCTGGGAGCATAGCAAAAAAGCAGAAGGTTTATGTGAACAGCAATTTCCACTAATGCTCAAAAATGGAGAAAGTAAAAAATTACGTGTGCTAGGAAAAAGTTTATCCCGGTCATACTTAATATTTCTAGAGATGTTTACTACTATAATGACCCAGACTAACAATGATCATAAAGCAACTGATATTCCCTTTACCAGTCTAAGGAAGTAAATGCCCTGGAATAAAGTGAAGAGGAAAAAGTGTATAGCAAGAGCTTCTATAATAAACAGCATAAACCTGAGAGGGAACTGCCTTAATGTACTGAATGCAATTTAAGAGCCATCAGATGGGTTCAAGTCTCTAAGGGAAAAGTTATAACTTCTTTATTCACAATTACAAATATGAAAAAAATCAGCATTATCAATTTATATAGATACAACTTTTAAACAAGGACAAAAGAAAACAGTTTTTTAAATATATCTATCTCTACACACACTATTTGTGACAGTAAAAACAACATTAGAACTCCAGAATCTCACAAGCACCTGCAAGGAAGGGAAGCCGCTTCATTTGGAAAAGAAAAAGGCTTTTCTGCAGGAAGAATCATGGCCATAAAATCTTAAGCACTCTGGGGTCATCTATCTGCCTTTCAAGTAATCAACATAATTTTGGCCTTAATGGTTACTTATAGTTTTACTTATTGTAAAACAGAGGATTCCCTTCTTTCTCCTCTCTACCTACCCCTTCTCTCCCATCGAGATGTTCTCAAGAGATGGTTGTATCTTGCAAATTGCCCTTACATGCAGAGGGAGAAAAGTGAAGAGAAAATGCCAATCAGGCTCCTCTAATCCTTTCCTGTTTAGTTTCTACCATGCACTGAGAACTTTAAACAATAAAGACTATAAATGTTTTACAGCTTTTCCTAGTGACAGGGGTTTTTTTCCCTCTTATTACTCCAGCTGCTTCTGAGATACCAAGGTGTCTTCCTACTTAGCACTGTGTATTCACATCTGAGCTCCAAGTGTAGCACTTCATGCCAAAAGTATTCTTAATCCACAGAGGTTTTCAGATGTCCAGTTCTTGCACCCTAAAAACACTGCACCTGAAGCCAGAAGCTCCAGCCTTTGCACACACTCACTTTTTTTTCAGGGTAGGAAGCCTGTGCAGAGGGTTCCTCAGTAGGGACTAATTAGTTCAGCTTAGGCAGAGCTGAAACTCATAAAGCCATTTCTTGTTTCTTACTTTTTTTCTCTATGTTCCCTTTTCTTTCTAAGGAATTACAGGAGCACTTTGAAACATTCAAATAAAAGAATAAGGGTTGGGTCTACACATTTTCGCCACCCTCATGCCCTGAACCAAACCACAATGACATGCCAAATCATTGTTTAGCATTTTAACCAGGAAAACAACCCTTCGGTGTTCATATAATCCCTCTACTGTTCTTATTTCAGTTCCATGAATTATTTTCATAGCCACAGTTACTATGTCCCCAAAGGTTTAAGACTGCCCTTCAACCCAGGATTCAATCATCCTTTAAGCTAGAGTGTGCAAGGCTCATTTAGAAGACTATTAAAGGCAAATATTTTAGGGCTTAGATTATTACTGCACTGGAGCTGATCTCCATCCAAATGATAATTTGGTGGTGTAAGAAATAGTTCTATAATGTTTAAAAATACCTATAAACTGCTCCCTTTCTTTTGCTAGATCTTATAAAACCTACGTTTAGTAGATCAACAGTGAACAATGTGCTAATTTGTTCCCTCTTCCCTCACTCCCTAATTTCCTATCCAAATTTGTAGTCCAAGATTAAAGTAAATTTCCTGGGTTGGATGTGGCAGGATGCTGGTTAATAAGTCCAGAAATCCTCCATTATAAAGCAGGAGTGAAGAGACCACAACATTCAGCTTAAGTCTAGGAAGCACTGGTTTATTAAACTGAGATTGTTTTCTTCAGAACCTAGCACGAGTCTTTGAAATAAATGGCCTTGATAAGACAATTATAATCCATACACCCTCTAATAGAATAATATGGAAGAGCTTCTCCAATAACTGGTTAAGATACTAGTGCATTTCTAATTCAGTTTCACAATTTAATAGAACTTAATGTCACATTATGTAACTTAACTATGGATTGTATTTTCTCTCCTAAAAGGTAAGGATGGTTTTTAATAGCTAAACGTAGCTTTTCTATTTAGGACCAGCAAGTCTGATCGTCATACGCTGAGGATAAAACAGGAAATGGCTAGCTACCACCATCACGCCATGCTCACAAACTTGCTAGAGACCTCTGGCTGACAAGTGTTAAAAAGGATGCTACAGTAGATAACCTTTGATCTTATCCAACAAAGCAATCTGTATATTCCCTTACCAACCTCAGAGCAGAGCCATTTCTCCATGAGAGTTTATAGGCATGCCTTACTTACATCTCTTTTACTTCACATTTCAAAGTAGCAATAAGGTTAACACTGCCTCTGCAAAACCTTGCCTTGCCTTCACACTTACCTGATATACTAGAATACAACCTGCTAGACCTATTCACAGCACTGCACAACAAAAGCTTTCTGTCACTATATCATATTGCACACAATAGCAAATTCAGTTTCTTCAAATGTCATCTCTTTGCCAGAGTTCACCGACTGATTCCCAGGGCCCTCTTACAAAAAGGAAAAGGAAAAGAAATAAGCCTGAGGGATTGACCGCTTTATTCTTATAAAGTTAGAGCAAATCAAACCAGACAATTTGTTTTCATCACAGTTTAAGAAAGTCTCTTTTTTGGGGTGGGGGGACACAGAACAGGTAAATTAAAAAAACAGTTTGATTCTAGAATCTGCTTTAAGTTAGTTGCTCAAGTGCAAGTGTTCTAGCAAACAGTAGAATACGCCCTACTGAAATAAATTGCCATTTCATTCCTAACAGGAATGGAGAATACGTAATTGTTTTTAACCATGAGAAAGAATATAAATCTATAATCCCACTAAGGAAACTGCAGATATTCTATTTTTGGCCAACAGAATTACTCTAGCCATACACAGAGATGCTTCAAGCAGGCAGACTGCTCACTATACCTGTGATAACAGCTCATGAGTTTGTGCCTTCCCAACAGCCACAAAACTCTCCTCCAAGTGAACATCCGAAATAAAGGTGGAGTCCCAGTTCCAGTACAACTGTTTGCACATCACAACAGCCCAAATCCCATCCAGATGGCCCAAATTCCATCAAAATGGCCAATTTCCAAATTGGCTACACACACTGCTCTAGATTATTCCTGTCTGACAAACTCAGCCTTTCCCCAACAATTCAGCAAGCCATTCTTGCACTTTTGCTGAGTGAATTCCCTTTTGCTCAGGTGCGGCCCTCTGCTCTACCTAGAGACGGACTGCGTCAGCTACTCAACTGCACTTAACCCAGTCCTTGCCAAAACAAACCAATTAGACTCTTTGCAACGTTCTAGCGTGAAGCAACAGACCTAATGTTTTTAAAGGCTGCAAGACGTGTTTGCTTTCTCAGTAGCCCCATGCTTCTACCTTGCTATAGATGTTAAACAATTTGTTTCAAAGGACTAGACATCACACATTAACAGAGATATGTATTTCATCTTGCAGCTGTTTGGCCAGTAAAGATGGGAGAAGTTTGCAAGTTTAACCAGTTCATTCAAGTCTGCATACTTTAAAAGCTTAGTCGTTTTTCCTCCTTTGTGTTAGTTCCAGATGAAGTCACAGACCTCTTCTCCATCAAATGCAGCCAAAATTTCCCCCTTCTCATAGCTTTCCAATGTGATCGATCCTGCCTTCACTAAAACAGGATAACGTCTGGCTGTCAAGCAAGTATTCCAAAAACATGAAATATGCTAGAGATTGCCAAACATTTTACTGAACTGCTGTCCCTTATCAAGAGAAGCAACAAGCAAACTGTACTCAAAGATCTCAAGAGAGATCCCATACAACTCACTGTGCACTACAAAAGGCGGCGCAAGGAAGTGCCCAACCAAAGTGTGCTCAACCCAACAGTAGTAATTCCATATTAATTCTTCAACAAGCAAAACTATTATTTATTGTTTGCATGGAAGGTTAAAAGCTAAGTCTCCCTAAACCACCATTCAGTTGCATCCTCAGGCCCATGTTTCTGAGCCATGCCATAGTATCTTCTAAGTTTTCCCTGGAACTCTGCCTTCTTGCATCAAAATCACAATTAATTGATTCTCAGAAAATCTTGTGTAAATGATTTGCTTCACTTTCCTTGACAGCAGTAAGCACTTCTTTCTTGGTGAGCTTCTTCAGTTGTAACAAATTGCATGGAAGTTTACTCAACTTTACCTGCAGTGCTTGTTCCTGAATGTCTCTGAACAACTCCATATCTTTCTCTGCCATGACATCTGGGCCTCCTAGAAGCCACTCTTCATTTTCTTGTTTTCCATCCCAGCCATCCTGATTGTCTAAAAACAGAACATTTAGAATTCCTTTATGAATTATCAACAATCTGAACAGCAAGCAAAGTAATTTCTCATTACAAATGGCATCCATGCCTTTCCTTGCCACTATCAATGCCAATCAGATCCTGCTTGATTTTGGCAGAAAGGAGACTCTGCTTAGTTACTGAAAAGAGAGTGTTCTTCTTCCTTCTACATCCACCAAATCCCTTCATCAAAACTGCCCTGTACCCTATCTTGATTTATGACAATGGCCCCTACTTAAAAGACAGTAATTCCAACCAACTTTAGATGCTTCTTAGAGTATTACTGACTGAAACAATAAATTGCAGCAATAAATCAAGATAATTATTTGCCCTCATTCTTCTATGATAACACAACAGATTGTTTCTAATGGCCAGTTTTTAAATAAAGTTATCAGTTTCTTTATAGCAGTTCACTCTGAAAACCTCTGAGTTCCATAAAATACAGAGTTAATATCTGTTAGCTACCTGTGGGCCAATCTGAAGTGCTTGATTTCCTATTGTCCTTTCTCCTGATCCTATATTGCTGAGAGTAGTCCACTACTTCTCCTCGAGCTTTACGCCCATCAGGGGACGGGGTGAAGAATTTGGTAAGGCCATCAATAAGCCCTTTGGTTTTCTTGTTGAATTTCAAGGTGATGCTGGCATCCCCGCAGAATTCCAGACCATCGACTTGCTCCAAGTAACCCCCTTCTGATGAGCAAGTTGACTGACTGGATAGGGGAGTCTTACGCTTACGGCCCCGACCAGGTCCCGTTTGAACTTTGCTGAAGGGGGCTTTTGATCTGAACAAATAATTGGAGAGGAAAAAGAAAGGTTACTAGCAAAAGCTGTCAGAAAGAAGACACAAAGGTATTAACCAAGCATGCAAACAGTAGTTGACTCACAGAACATATTTTCAAATTTTCTCTTTGGGCTGAGAATTATACTTTATAATCCCTGCAAATTTACTTGAATCAAATCCAACTATATTCAATACAGAGATTACCTCCATGTTAAAGTGCAAAATGGCCCCTGGTGCTGATTTTTCATGGATCTTTTGAATAAACATAAAATACAACAGCCACATGTTGAACAGCAGCAAATGTTGCACACTTCATTTTTTGTAAGATACTAAAAATGTGTTTTTATGACCAAGCATCTTAGGATCCATAAAGAAGGCTTCTGAATTAAGAAACATTGATTTTGGTTGTGTGCAAAACTAACCACTTAGGGACAGAATATCCCAGTATTTCCCAGAATGTCCCAGTCCAGCTGTTCAGAGATGGTTTGATAGCTTTCTAGAAGTAACTCATCCAGAACAGGAATAGGTTTGCAATATTCTGCATGCATTTTGGAACAGTGAGTTTCGCACATCCGTGAATGAATGTTTATCCTTTACATAGCTTCCCAGTCTTTTTGCATTGCATTAACTGACAAGCATCTAATCATTCAAATGCAACACTGAACCAAGTATTGCTCAGATTTCATCATTGCAGCAAGTTTTGAGCCTTTGAGAGATAATATGGCTGCATGAAAGCTAATGGTTTCCTTTAATGAGATCAACACCTTACTAGAACTCTTCTCGGTCTTGTTTAAGAGAGCTAGAAGGGGTTGCAATACAGAAGATACACATATCCTCAAAAAATAGGGGTGCAGAAAACATTCTGAGTGTTCCAAACACAGAGCAAAACTTGTTTTCTTTCTAAGAGCTTTGAAAAGAGCTGTTCCAACCTCAAGACAGGCCATGTCGAGTATTCCAAGCTTACAACAAAATGTGAATGTTCTAAGAGCTTGTTTCAAGATTTGTTCTAGCAGAACATATGCAACTTCACTATTCTAATGAAATATTCTGATGGAATGTTTCAAGTGGGACTGTTTTGTTCAAAGTTCAAAATAAAACATATTTGTCACTTAATGTACATCCCTAACTCAAAAGCTGTTATAGCTGAGTATATGTTCAAATCTTCTTCCTAAAAATCAACGCTCACTAATGACTCTAAATAAAATTGAAATCCAACTCCCTGAAGGACTTTAACATAAGGGTAGCTTTTCTCTAGTTCTGCAAAATCTACCTTTTGCAGCAGTATTCTTTTAGAAGAGAGAATTAAGAAATACCAATATTGAATGATGTCATTCTGTAGACAGTGTTTCCCACCTAAATCTTCCCAAGGTAGTACATTCATTAGGCAAGCTCTAAAGCCAGAAATGGAAGAAATGCTGAAACCAAAGCAATGTCAACTTTGAATATTAAAGAATTAAGTGAATCAAAAGCAAATAGGAAATTGTGTTTAAAAGCAAAACCTATTTAAAATTTAGATAATACTAACCTCTTCCAAAGTAGTTACCAAGACATTTGTGTCTTAAATTTGCAAAGAGGAGGACACCTCCAACAACAAAGTTGCATCATCTCTATCACACTCCAAGCTTCAGAGTACTTACGTTGCATTTTGGTTCTTTAATCTGTTTTTGGGACGTCCTATTGGGTTGGCGTAACGCCGCTTAATCTGTGCTGCCTTTTTATGGAGTAGTTTTCTTCCTTTTTTGTGTGGCCGACATATCTGACATATCCACATGCCTGCAAGATACAGAACCTCATCATAATACCAGGTATATAGCTAAGGCCAGAGCAATATAGTCTTGGTTGTTTGGTTTCCATATTTCTACCTTGGTGCAATCCAGAGACTCCTGACGGCTTACGCAGAATATAAAAACTGAGTAAAACATCCACAGGATAACAACTATAAAAACAGTAAAACACCACCACCCAAACAGAAAACTACCAAGTATAAGGTTAGAAAATGAAGAATGGCATGCTAAGATCAGGAGAAAATTCTCTGGAACAACTGTTGTTAAAAGCTTTCAATGAGGGGACTAGTCTGATCTCAACTGGGAGGCTGTTGTGAGGGCCTCCTCGCTTTAGTACCCCAGATCTTCCGAAAATGTAGGATCAGTAACAGATTCTCCCTATCATTCAGGTCATTATTCACTGGAGTAGGTGGTCCTGCAGCTATCCAGGCACCAAGCCATAAAGGGCTTTATAGGTTAAAACCAGCACCTTAAATCATACCTGGGAACCAATCGGCAACCAATGCAGGGTCCACAAAACCAGAGTTATATACTCCCAACAATGGAAGCCAAAAAGTATGCCGGCTGCTGCATTTTGGATCCATTTTAATTTCTGGGTAGTTTTTAAGGACAGCTGCAAGTAGAGCATTTTCTTAGCTACTTTATTATAAAGGCAGTATCTTTTATTGTGTTGGAGTGCAAATGTATAAATTGTTCTACCTATCAATTCTATCTTGTGTGCTAAAGATTTCCATGTAATCTGGAAAGCTTTACCTTTTCCTCCTGCATCATTGTTCAGCCCCTCCTTACCTTTTGGCATCCTGGTCAAAGGAGGATCACAACACTCCATATGAAAGCCCCGATCACATGAGTCACAAAATAGCATATTATCCTGTAAAGCACAGATGTTTCTGGTTAATGTCTTGTATGTGCAAACTCAAAGAGTTATAGTCTGGATGTCACCAACACTTTTGGCCAGGGCTCAGAATACTAAGGGAGCCACTGTGATCTACTCATGGGGCTGTTGAGGGGATAAAACTGGTGGTGGGAGCACGGTATCTTGCACTCCTGGAAGAAAGGCAGGATATACATCTAACTAACCAATTAATGAATTAAGGGGATGCCTTCTTCATAATTACTCCCCCACGCTCTCATAAATAACATCTTATTTCATATGCCTTGTTCATATTGTAAAATCAGCAGAACAGCCACAAAGACCACCTTCTTTATGAAAACCTACGAAAAACCACCTTCAGTAAGAGAGCCACCAGATATAGAACTGGGTCTGATTAAGAAGGCCTTGCAAGTGTTTTCATTCAGATTTGACTTCTGTCTGTACCAGTTAAAATTAGAAATCCTTCTTATTCATGTTGCAGTTTGATGGGTTTACTGATTTATTATTGTTACTGATTACACTGTATTCACTATTTTGGAAATACTACATATTAAATTAACTTTTAAATACATTTGTCACCTTTGTGCCAAGTAACGTATTAAACTAACAAGTATGAGAAATATTTTGTTAACTCTATTTATAAAGTGTCAACTTTTATTTTCACATATTTGTGTACTGCTTTTCTGTTTTAAAAAAGCATCTTAAATAAGAAAATGTTTAAAGAACTGAAGATAAATCCCTGAGTAGAATCCACCAGCCTTCTCCACTATATGTCTTCTAGAAAGGAAAGATTAAAGGATCACTTGGGAAAAACTAAGTACAAGGGCCACAAAAATACTCTCGTGCCAACCAACCCATCTACTGTTCACCACAGAGTGACACAAAACAGCACTTGCATTTGATGATTTTAGAAGATGGTCAGGCCCGCAGGGGATATAGCAGTTCATAAGATACAAAGCCCTCCAGAGCTTCAGAAAGTAACTCCAGAGCTCTGGATTACATCCAGAAGCACGCTGGGAGCAACACATTTAATACAACTGTTTCCTGCAGAAAGCTCCAGCCAGACTCTCACCACACTCTGGGCCAGTCGAAGCTTCCAAGTAGCCCCAGAGCATCTGAGAGAGCTCTCACTTGGATGTTACAGAGATATGCATGATGGTTGCCAAGTCAAATCACAAAGAGAAGTGTGAGTACACATCAGGTGAATTCCGTAAAAGAGCTTACTCAAAGTTTTCTCCAGACCAAGATAGTCTGATATAACTTCCAGAACACTGACACTGCAGATGAACATTCAGCCCAGGTACTCACAGCATTCTTGCCCTGATCTCGACAGGAACTGCATGTCTTGCACTCAATGCACTGCCATCGTAAAGCCTTCACCCGAACCGTTAATTCTGGGGAGAACTTCAAGCAGGATGGATGACCTGTACAAGGGATACAAGAGCAGTTTCCATGATGCCAAGGAAGAACAGCAACCCTTAGTAAAAGCACAAGTTACGGGCTCTAACGCAGTTCACTCCTGACTTCCTGAGAGGACTCCTGGTTTGTCAGAACAGTTCAACCCATGCTTAGCACTTTGCATTAATTCACAGGAAGTGTTTTTGAAAGGAAATGGTTTTTTGCCCAAGAACTTTAATTTTAGTTTAATGAGTCTAGTTTAGCTCTGAAAGATTTTTGTGAATGGTTGAACCCAAAAGCTTTAAACATGTCTGTGACTCACATTAGACTCATATTGGCGTATAAAGAATAGTTTTTACGAGGTATATGCTGTAATTAAACATATGTTTTAAAAATTTCTAATCCTAATCTGGCAAAAATTTAAAGTACCAATCGTGTAACATTTGTTAAATTTATCTATTTTTTTCACCTGCCTCCAGTACACAGTACTTTTGGACAGAGAAACATTTTCTGGCACTAAAAATACTGCTCATAATGGAATAACTTGTCACCTATTTTGAGGAAGCCATATTTCTTGTTTTTGCTGTAAGTTTGAAGACCATCCAATGCTCCTTTCTGTTTACCTGTTGGTGCAGGTAAATTGGTATCTTTTTTTATAATTACAGGTACTCCTCAACTTACGACAGCAACTGGAACCAGAATTTTCATCGCTATGTCATGTGGTTGTAAAGTGTGACCACATCGCTTAGCGATGGCAATCCCTAAGCCAAAGTTAGTGGGAAAGCCAGCAGGAAGTTGTAAGTCCCAGGCCGGCCAGCAGGCAGGTAACTGGCTGCTGCGGGGTGGGGGAGGGAGCAAGAGAGTATGCGAGAGAGACAGTGTGGGTCAGGGAGATGTGTGAGCATGCAAGGGAGTGCACAAGAGGCATGGCATGGGTCGGGGAGGGTGTATGTGGGTGCGCTAATGGCCAGTGTGGTGCAAGCCCAGAGGGGCTAAGAGAGGGTGCACAGGTGGGGAAGACTTACCCCAGCAACTTGCAACCTTCCCTGCTGGCATCCCCACAGACTTTCTAGGGAAGTCAGCAGGGAAGGTGGCAAATAGCAATTGTACGATCATGAGACGTGCAACCAGTCATAAGTGCGAGCTGGTTGCCAAGCACACAGATCACAAACACATGACCGTGGGTGTGCTAGGACGGCTGGAACTCTGAGGACTAGTCGTAACCACCATTCATTCAGTGCCACTGTAACTTTGAACAGTCGCTGAACGAAGGGTCAGAGGTCGAGGACTACCTGTAGAACAAAAATAGTTATCTTGTATCAACTGATGCACAACTATAACTTCTGGATTCTGATCAACAAGGACAATGGACCAACACCTGGCTTAAAACAGTATACATTAGTATATTCATGCATGATATCTACTGAAACTCAAATGGAAATCCCTGAATAGCTGGGAAATAATACAGCTAAAACAAGTGCTGATGTCTGGTCCTTCTCTGCAACAGATATAGAATCATCTAGCGATCAGTGCAGATGAGAGCATTACGACAGTGCGGGGAAGGTATAATTATTCCCGTTGCCTTTAGAAACACTTACTTGCATTCAGGCCTAAGGAAGTACAAAGGCCAAACATAGGGTGGTTCCAACCAGATGAACGGACAGAACGTCACCAGTGCAAATAAATCTCATTGCCTCAAATACAGAGAGTCACCTACCACTATTACCGCAATCAGCACAAGAGATGAGCTCCTCGGGTTTCTTTTCTCGGTTTTGTTCTTTTGTACCAAGGCAGAAACTGCAGATGGGGATTGGTTCAGCAACTGGCTGCAAGGGGGGTGGGGGGAGAAAGAGAGCACAGGCTTTCGTTAATTAGCATGTTTGCAAAATACTGCATAAAGGTACTACAGCAAAGAAGCCTAACTTCCACACTAAAGTAATCGGGGATGGAAGAACTTGGGTTCTAGTACTGGTTCTTACTTTGAAATTTTAAGTACCTAACAATGAACCCCAAGTTAAAGGAAGCTAGGTCCAAAAAGCAATGGCAGGAGCAAACATATGGAAAAAGGTGTTGGTAGCACCTCAGTCCAAAGGGAAAGCTGGCTCAATGCAAAAGGCTCCTTTTGGCCCTCATAATCCAGGCAGGATTCAAGTCAGTAGTTTGAGAAGACATAATAAATCAAGATTTCTGGCTAGAATCATTACAGTACCAACAAATGCCAACTGGGAGTGGAAGAGAGCCAATCTCTAGGTGGGGCCTTGAGAGAGTTATGCTCTCAACCCAACTTTCTGCACTAGGTTGTCATTAAAACAAAGTACAGTTCCATGTGCTGCACTGCAAACTCTTGGAGGAAAAGTGAGATACAAATGTGATTAGTGGCCACACCCTCTATCCACATTCAGTATATGCCATCCAGCATCAGCTGTTGTGACCAAGAGCTTTTACTTGATCTGTGGGTCAAAATAAATGTAAGTTCTGTACATTTATATCCTTTTTTTTCTTCTTCAAAGCTGCAGGTTGAATACATGAGATAATGGTTATTACAAAAAAGAAACACGTGAAAAGTCAGGTGCAAAGGTTACTTTCCTAAAATTTGATAGTCCAACTACTTAATATTTTGAGATGCTCCTATAAAACTACTTAAAGACTGAAAAAGCCAGGACATACAAGTAGCTCCAGCTTTTCCAAGCTAGCTTTCCACACAGCCACTAGGGCCCACTTTTCTTATAGATCTCTTCCACTGTAGAAGAATGTAAACTGTAATTCCAGCAGTACTAAACTATTCCACATGTATAAGGTATCTGGAGGTAGGGTGGACACAGAGATAGCAAAGATTTCTAATAACTAAATTATTCAGAGTGGTGAAACCACAAGCAGACAGAAGAGCAGATGGCCTTCCTGTAGACTGGATGAATGGGAAACAAATGGAAAAGATATTAAATGCAAGTGCCAAATTATAGGTATGGGGATGATAAACCTAACTGACATAAATACTGATGGGACCTGAACTAGATGTGCCTGTGCAAGAAATCTGGTATTGATGTCACAGGGCACAAAAGCTTTTTTACTGGGTAAATGCAAAAGGCATACTCAATGGTAGAAAGTATCGGTAAAACAAAGCAAAAGCTTTAATGTTATGTAAACGTCTGGCATTCGTCTTTTGTGACTTAATACAGGTAGTCCTTGGTTACAACAGCAATTGGGATGATTGCTATCATAAACCCAAGACATGCGGGTCTTTAAGCTGGAAGTGGAGGGAGTCCCAGGTAAGGAGTGTGGAGGTGCTGCCTGGGAGGATGGGGGGTGCTGGGGGAGGCCTGAGAGGGCCAGCGCAGTCTGTGCATGGGCAGGATGCTGCGGGCGGGAGAAAAAGCAGGAGTCACTTACAGCAGCAACTTGCAACCTTCCCTGCCAGCTTCCCCATTGAGTTTGCTTGTGGGAAACTGGCAGGGAAGGTCATAAATGGTGGTCATGAGACCACAGCTCCCTGCAATGTCCTAATTGCAAACTGGGCACACGAGCACACGGATTGTGTTTACATGACCGCAGGGGTGCTGCCATGGCTGGAAATTTGAAGACTGGTCACACGTCCATTTTTTCAGCACCACCATAACTGAATGGTCGCTGAACCAATGGATGTAAGCTGAGGACTACCTGTGCACAGTGCTTAAACATAAGCCAAAGCCTGAGACCATTTTCTCCCATGGCACCTGCACTATCTTGACCAAGAACTTGGCAAAGGAAGTATATTCTCCCCCTAACTCAAGAGGCTCACAGGTAAAGGTAGCTAAAGACAAGGAGGAGGATTTGGCAAATCATAGGCCACTTTGTACCTAATAATGGGACAGACGTGGCCTGCAGGACACAAGGTAGCTCACTCTGCTTAGCTATAAATCAAATGGTTTAGCACTTTACATCAGCCATATCAATCAGTTTCTGATACTATCAGCCATATATCCTACCTCAGTGTCACTGGGTTAATCACAAAGCCATTTAAAGAAGAGGATGACTCCTAAAAAACACTACCTACAAAGTAGAGATGGAATGTACTATGTCTAATTTCTGCTGGAGATCTTGAACCCACAAAAAAAACCCCAAACCGATCCTTGTATAATACAGAGGACCAATATTAAAGTTATTTGTGTGCTGAATCTGGGTGTCCCCCTTTTCCTCATTCTCAGTGATGCGATGTTTCAACACAACCCATCCAAAACTTACTGATATAGATGAATTTCTAATAAAGATAATAAATAGTGATACCAATCCAACATTTATCAAACTGTAAATCTCCCCTCCTTGTAGGTGGTAAATCTGCTGTATAAGTAGAATACGAGGCAGTTCACCAAACTAAATCTACAGGAAGATCAGAATGAAATGTTTGTAAGGTGCAAGTGGGTGGGTCATAATATAGCCAAGGAAGGAAGGACTATAACCACTAACAGATCTGTTCCACCAACTGATGATAGCAATAAGTAAACGTCCTATCTTTTGCACCCTCAAAACATTCTTGGGAAAGGTCAAATCAAAACTTCTGCCTCCCATCTCACCTTTTCCTTTCACCTCACCTGACTCTTTTCCCATCTGTTTTGGTTAGCTAGCCAACAAATAAGCAACTCTGAAGGAGAAATTGAGAAAGACTCACAACAGAGGGTAAGGAAAACATTTTTCACAGCATAAAGCTTTCCTCTAGCTGTCATCCCTAAGGGAGTCACTGAATAATAAACTAACAGTTTTACAAGTCCAATCAACGCCAGTACATTCAGAAGGAAAGTGTATTGAATGTTACTAGGATGCAGTTAGGATACATGTAATTACAGAGAGTAGGCAAGGAAGCCTGGGGAGAGTAATCTTTTGAATCAACTATTATAGGAAGGGGTATAAGATATCCCTGGTGATATATGCATGCGGCAAAGAAATCTAGAGACACCGAGGAAAGAAATAAATGTACACAACTGAAGACCTGGGAAAAAAGACAAGGGACGGCAGAAAGGGAGTTTGGCAGGCACTCAACTCTCTCTGCTGTTTTCCTTGCAAGCACATCTATCGAATGTAATGTCACCAGAGCTGAAGGGAAAATGGGAGGGGGGAACAAGGAAAGGGAAGAGTCTGAGACAGAGAAAGAGTGAGACTGTTTTAAGGATTGCCAGCTTCTCAGCACATAACACAAAAGCTGTCTGGGAAGCCCACTGGCTTGACAGAAGCAAAGACTAAACTGTTCCCATAGAGAAACGCAGAAAAGAGAACAATTTATGGAAAGGAAGCAAAATGTATGCATGGAGGTAGGAGCCAACAATTCTCTTCTCCAGGCGTAAGGGCTCATTTCATCTATTTTGGGAGTTATAAGTCCAGATGCAGATTGGAATATCAAATCCTGCCTGCAGAAAGAGGTCCTTTCCACATTATGCAATTTACTGCATTTGTTCTGTTTCCATCCTTCCGTTTTCTTAACTGCTTTAGGCAAACAACAGAAGTGGAAGAGGGAGCAATGGCAGTCTGGGCACCCAGTTAAAAAAAAAGAAAGACAGGCACTAATGTTTACACATTGTAAGTACCTTGAGGAGGATTACTTTTATGTACTCAGAAAACAAGTATGGACTGGAAAGTCACTCTGTGAGGGCAGATATAACATTTCTCCCTCCTATATATCACTTTTACTCTGTAGAAATTTAACCTTGGATGCATCATTCTTCAAAGATTTACTTAGATCATCAAAAAACATTCCTAATTCTCCTGCCGTTGCATTACTATTAGTGCAGATTATTGTGGTGGAGACAGGTTAGAAAGACTGGCAGCGAAAACATCGCCAGCTAGCTTCTTCAAATTGATCCTGCTTTCCAAGTCATAAAGGGTCTTTATACCAGCTTGTGTGCAGCTGGCGAATTTTTCAAATGAACATCCCCTTTTAAAGTCTCAAGATTAAAAGTATCATAAATCTCAGAACACTCTGACAATGCCTGAACTCTCTCCTTGGCCAACTGTACCCCTGGAAACTACAGAATCCTTTTCACATGCAGAGATTTTAAGATCAGTCCCTTTTTTATCTCCTGCTGCAGGGTACATAAAATGCTACTCAATTCTGACACCAGGTCCACAGCCTCAGAAGTAGCTATGAAGAACTCTTCTGGGAATCCAGGTACTTTTAAAATACATTATAGAGAACCATATTTGACTCAATAAGTTCATAAATAACTGCAACCTCCCAAGTCAATCATTTCTTCTTTGCTTCTTTCTTGAATCAAACAAGATACTGCTTGATCCACTGTGCTAGTCTTACATCAACTGCCCTCCGGATAAAGTTAAATTACAATTGTATCTGGAGGGCAGTAAAGTTACGCTTAGCAGTCAGCCTAAGCATAACTTTACTGAACCTCCAGATGTGTCTGACTACAACCTTTATCGTTCAAACTAGCATGGTGTGGATGACAAAAGTTGTAGTTCAACACATCTACAGAGCACTAGGTCCAGTAAGGTTATGCTTAGCCTAATTGCTCTTCAATCTTTACAGAATGCTTCTGAAAACAGGTCACTGAAAGAATCTGTGAATTCCTCATCATTCTCAAACGCGCTATTCTCATGGCACTTCTAAGTTCCTCCACCTTGAAAATATAACCACATGAGGTTCCTGATGGGGTTCCTTATCACTTCAACTGCTATTTCAGGGTGAAAACAATTAGGATAAAAATATTTTTAAACTACTTTTCATTCTTACAGCAACCAGAATGATAGCCAGATAAATAAATAAAATATACAATAAAGCAGGAGTTATGTAATACCTCTTGGCTGCCTTCAGCCATAAACAAAGAAATTGAAGTCAGAATGAAAGAGT